CCTAACTCAGTCTTGAAAACTGTGTCCGATACCTGTTCGTGCAGGACCTGTTTGTGACTGTTCAAAACGACTTTTCATTTCATTATGGATGCGACATATGCCTCAGGGAACTTTGTCTTTTGAGTTGCTGCTCGTGAATTTAAGTTCTGGCCGACAGGGCCCCTCACTGTTGGGGTGTTCTTCTGGGGTCTAATTCGTAAAGGCCCTTTTAGACCGACCACAAACCTACCCAAGAGGCCCAGCCAAGCCCACACACAGCACAAACAGGATTCAAAAATTCGAAACCTTGCGGTCTGACCTTGAGCGCGGGCCTAAAAATTTTTTTTCTGGCCTTCGCATCATTTTTGGTGGGGGGCCTCCAATGTGCCGTTTCTGCCCCCGCCTTTTTTTTTTTGGGGKGGGGGGGGGGGGGTTGGTTCGGGCCGTTCACCTCGTGCACCGCGCGGGAACAGTCGGGCGCGTGTGCGGGACATCGGGAACCTAGCGCACGACGTGCGCTTGCAAGTATGGGTAACACCTGTAATCAAAATACAAACTCCTCCATGTGACGGAATCATATTCATTGATGCGGAAGGTTTGAACAAAAAGAAACTGAGAAAGAGAGAAACAAACAAACAATGTAATGATTGAAAGATGTTTAATGTCTTCTGTTAGTAACTTCATATGACCGTGTTGGGAGCTGGGTCTGAGGAGGACTTGTCTTCAGAAAGGCTGATTGTGATGGACGGAAACAAAATTTAGGGACAGGAGAATAGGAAAGTAAAGTCTTGGTGATGGAAACTCTTGTTTTGGACTGGACTCCGGCAGAGAGTCAAGTCTTTTACGGTCAAGTACTAGGCTATCACAGTTGCCCAAGACCACTTGTTTGGCCAGACCAAAAAAAAAAAACCAAGAATTTATTTTTGGACTTTTATAAAGAGCATCAGTGTAACCCTGGGGCAAAAGTTGTTCAGTTTATTATTCTGCACAGGGTTGCACCCCCTGACGGTCGGCGGCCCGTGACTGGTCGGCTGCCGACCCGCCGACCGATCGGCTGGTTGGCACCTACCGGTCGGGGATCGTCGACACCCCGCAATTTTATTTTATTTTTCTTTGGGGGTCCAGAACCCCGAATAACACCATCAACAACCCCATAGCGGCCCCCAATACCCCAGTACACGGCTCCAACACCCCCAAACCACCCCCAGCACCCTCATTACCCTGCCCCCAATACCCCCTATATGTTACATGCCCAGTTGGGCGATGGGTATATATAGCCAAGGATCCGCAATGTGATGAAAAGGGCCGAATGGACAATGCAGTGCTAATGGAATCTCAACAAGCAATGTACATCCTGATACATACAAAATGGCACATAATAGCATAGGGGAAGACTTAGTTATAAGCCCTGACCTGACCGGGACTGACCTCTCTCACGTAGTACAAGACAGCGCAGCAGAGTGCTAGAATACCAATGACGAGCCCAAGCAATGTTGCAATGCAGACCAAACATACATCATCCTCATCACAAGGTGTGAAGGGGCCTGGCGCTACACACAGGAAGAATGCGCCAGGTCCAGACCATACACAGACGAAGAGGGGGGGATCAGACGAAGAAGAGGGGGGAGATGGGAATGTCGTCAACACCAAGTCTTCGGTACAAGTCCCAGATAATCCCTCGTTAAATGTCTGAAGCCCAATGTCGAGTCTGGATCCAAATGTCACCAAGCCCGCTCTCTCGTAGTCTGCTGATGCAGTGAAGTCAGGTAGCGAGAGGGTGAGAGGGAAATGGTGGACTGAGAAGAGGAAGAAGAAGAAATCTCTCTCTCTCTCTCTCTCTCTCTCTCTCTCTCTCTCTCTCTCTCTCTCTCTCTCCAGTGCTACTCTAGCTCCTACTACCGCCCAGCGCTGAAGGCTACTGCAAACGCTACTACTACTACTGCAGCGCTACTCCAGAGTGCTGCTGCCGAATCCTGAAGACTACCTCCTGCCTCCTGAACTGCACGTGAAGTGCCTGGGAAGTCCCTATGAACTGCCTGCAGCCTGCAGGGCGGGCCAGTCTTATATAGTGCTGGCCTGTCCAGGAGGCTGCTCTTGCCAATGCCAAAATGTGCCAGACCCTGACGTTGAAGCTCAAACAAAGGTTGTCTTGAAAACAGGCCCAAAATGGCCTGTGCTAAAACCCTGGTCTGGTGCCTGAGTTTCAGGGCAGGTCGATCATATGAGGGCCTGAAAATGGCCCTCCGTTTCAGGCTGAAAAGACTCAGGGCCTGGAGGGCCCTGTTTTAGGCTGAAACGGCACAGGCTTCCAGGCTGAAAACAACACAGGGTCTAAAAATGGCCCTCGTTTCAGGCGCAGGATGTTGCAGGTGCAGCACGTAACACCCCCCCTTCCTTATGAAGTCAAGCCGGGTCGAGGGCGGAGCTGACGATCTGAAGGTGGAACCTGGACGCCTGTGCGGCGTGGAGCGGAAGATACCGGCTTGCCTTGCATCTTGCGTTCGTAGCGTGCGAGAACATCTGGAGTTGTTGCTTGGAGTTTCGCATGGGTCAACCAACGGTCAGCTTTGTACGCAAAGTGTACCAAGTATTCGGTCGGCCTGTTGTCGTAGCATCGCTGGGAGATGATGTCGCCGACCTCTTGAAAACCGTCCATAGAGGGTGGGTCTTGCGATCGTCCCCCGAGAAAATCGTCATGTTCCGCTGGTGTGTAAAGAGCCAACTTGGAGGAATGAAAGACCGGGTAGACGGGCAAGCGGGCGGGCACCTGAATGATGAAGGAAGGTCCTTCGGGTGCATCCCCAGTGGGTGCCACGATCGGCCAGGGCCCCATCCATTTCGGGACGAGCTTGCGAGAGAGATGTTGTTCGAGGATGAACTCCGCGGCTGAAACCCAAACGAGATCGTCGGCGCGGAATGGACAAGGAAGACGCTGGCGATTGGCCTGTTGGCTCACGCGTTGCTGCGTCTTAGCCATCTGGTCACGTGCCTTGACAAGTAGCTCTTGCATCCGACGCAAGAAAAGAAGATGGTTGTCGCTCTCAGCCGCTCGTGGAATGATTGTGTCCAACGGAGAAGTTACTGGCGAGCCGTGCTCGAACTCGAAGGGTGACATCCCGATAGCCGAGTGTATGGACGAGTTGTATGCCAACTCGACATCCGGCAGCCACTCAACCCAATCCTTTTGGTCGGGACGGATGAGAGTGTGAAGGAGAACCTGTGCGGTATGATGCGCCCTCTCCGTTTAGCCATCGGTTTGGGGGTGGCGAGCCGAATTTGGCTTGAGAGATGAGCCCCATCGTTTGATGAGCGCCAACCAAAAATCGAACATGAACCGAGTGTCGCGGTCGCAGACGATTTCCTTTGGGTAACTCTTGGTTCGAATCCAACCGGCGTAAAGAACCTCAGCCAACTCCAGTGCCTTGGCATGATAGCGGCAAGGCAAAAACATGGCGAACTTGGTTAGTCGGTCGACCACCGTGAGAATCCCATCCACACCGGTCTTGTACTTGGGGAACGGTAATGGTTGCAACTACCCATACGGACGATGGTTCCGGGATGTGCAACGTCGGCAAACCTCGCATGACTCGCAATAGCGTGTGACGTCGCCGAGAAGGTCAGGCCACCAAAAGCGCTCGCGAAGTCGGCCAATCGCCAAGAAGCCGTGTACGCAAGTGAGAGTCACTCAGTACGCAAAGAAGGTCCTTCCCCCGCGTGTGGAAAAGCAAGTACCCCTCTTGGATTCAGTAGTGAGAAGGCGCCGGACTAGGAGAGGAGCAATTCACGTACTTGTCGTGAAACTCGGGGTCGGCTTGGTAGCCGCGGATGAAGCTGTCCCACAGGTCGTTGTCAATCTCGAAGGTCGAATAGACTGCGGTACAATGATCCGAACGTCGTGAAAGAGTATCCGCAAAATGGTTGGACTTCCCCGGAATGTGATCGGGAAAGAAGTCGAATTGGTCGATAAAAGCCATCCAACATGCGATGGTGCTATTGACGGTGTCTTGGGTCTTGTAGAAGAACAACGGATTGTTGTCCGTTACCCATCAGAATTGATTTCGACCAAGGAGGAAGTGCCGCCACCGCTTGAGCGTGTGGATGAAGGCTAGGAACTCCTTGTGTGTATCATCAATGGAGTGCACGACGAGCACTTTCTTGCTGAAGTACTCGACCGGGTGCCAGTCCACGCCATCGTGTTGTTCGAGGACGACACCAATGCCATAGCCGGACGTATCCGTAGTGACGCGCATTAGCAATAGTGGGTCGTATATGCGCAAGACCTCTGCAGATAATAGCACGGCTTTGAGAGCCAAAAATGATTTTCGTGCATCCTCTCCGAAGTCAAACGGTCGATCCTCGCACCGAAGCTTGGTCAAGTGGGCCGCGATCTTCGAGTATCCCTTGATAAAACGTTGGTAGTAGCCGGCAAGGCCAAGGAACGAACGACATCCGTGACGTTCAATGGTTTCGGCCACTCTTGGATGGCTTGAATCTTGTCTAACAACGGACTGATGCCTTCTGGTGTGACAAAATGGCCCAAGTATTCCAGCTCTTGCCGGACAAATTCGCATTTGTCGAGGTTGGCTTTGTACTTGGCGCGGAGGAGCGTCTCCAACATTCATCGAAGGTGCTCAAGGTGATCCTCCAATGTACGGCTATAGACGAGAATGTCGTCTAAGTAGACTAGCACGAACCGGACCAACATCGCACGAAACTCGTTGGTCATTGCTGCTTGAAAGGTCATCGGGGCGTTGGTGAGGCCAAACGACATGACCACCAACTCAAAATGGCCATACTGCGTCTTGAACGTGGATTTATAGCGATCGTTCGGTTGGATTAAAATCTGATGATATCCTGACTTCAAATCCAACTTAAAAAAGTACTTCGCGCCACCCAATCGCTCAAGGAGATCGTCAATACGACGAAGAGGCCCCGCATTCTTCACGATTTGCGCGTTGAGCTTGTGGTAGTCGATGCACAATCGTAGATCCTTGTTCTGCTTCCGTATGGAGAGAACTGGCGCTCCATATGCAGAGCTACTAGGGCGGATCCAGCCCTTGTCCAACAAGTCATTTAGTTGCGCGCGAAGGACTGTAAGCTCCTCCTCGCTCATGCGTTAAATGCAGCCTTTTGGCGGCACGACACCGGCCTTAAGAATGATCTCGTGAGAGATCAGCCAATCCGGCACCACACCGGTAGGTGACTCGAAGATGTCGGTGAACTCATCAAGCAACTGCACCACACGAGGGTCCGAAGACAAGTCCGTGGGGGAAGAATCGGCTACCGCGACAGTTCGTAGGAAACATAGGCCTATTTCGTCAGACTGCTTGTAAGCGCAAGTAGCCCGGAATGACTTGGCCGTCACCACTTGGCACCGAATCAAAGGGTGCGGAAGAGGAATAGTACACGACACTTCGGCGCCGAAGGCGTCCCGAACGGTAAGAGTCCACCTGTGGAAGTTGATCGTGTGATCCGCATTTGCAAGCCAAGGCATTCCCAAAATAATGTTGAAGTCCGTGTCCAAAATGTCGAACGTCATCGGTTCGCATGCATGAGGTGCGAAATACACCGGTACAGCCTCAATGTAGCGGTCGATAAGTTGCTGCGTCCTTCCGTCTGCCAGCTTGATGTTCCTCGGGTTTGCCTTCTTCCGAACTTGTGCGCCAAGGCCAGCCCTTTGCATAAAGGCTTGGCTCATGAAATTGCGAGTCGCGCCGCTATCAAGCAAAGCGCTGCAGGATGCTTGCCCAGCTTGGATGCGAACATAGAGGACCGGTGCGTTGTTGTCATCATACCGCTGCTTGCGAAACTCGCGGGCCACCTCGGTAACATACGCAAGGATGTCCCCCACCGTAGCTTCGTCATCCGTCGGCGAAGTTGGTGGTGCATAGAAGGATAGATACGTGTGAAGATGAGCGCATAATGTTGTGCATTGCGGTCCCGACAAGCGGCCCGTTGTCGAGCGCATCGGTCCGGCACCGCACAAGGCAGCGCGGGACCCTCCCGGCCGTGTCACGCAGGAGTTGGACTTATCCTCGTCGCGAATACATAATGGAGCTTCCCCAAGCCCCTCCGGCCGAGTGCGCCACCCATACCTCTCGTGAGCTCCTACGACAGGATAGGGCCTACGCGAGGCACGACTTACCTCCACCTTACGGGAGCTGTCACCTCCCTTCGGTGGGCGTATCCCCGCCGAGCTACCAGTCCACAGTACGAAAGTTGATCAGTTGTAATCATAGAGGTGGACCAGCCGATGGTGTTTCTCGTTCGTTGTAGCATAGGGGGTACGCGCGGTATTACGCCTCTATCGAACCCGCACACGAACCGCATCTTGGGGGGTTGAGGTCCCAAGCGCGACTCGTAGTTGCTCGACTAGGATGCATCCCACACGCCACGCACACACCACTATAAAGAACATAAAAATAAACACACACACACACACACACATACATATACATATACAGAACGACACTGAACAAACAACGCGACAACACTCCTAGTTCCTTAGTTGCCATCCCATAACTACCGATGCGGAAATCAGATATGCGTCTCGCGTAAGACTTTGCATAAAACCGCGTGGACGTAGGGCTAACTCATATCGACTAGCAAGGCATGAACATGCAAGCAGTCGCAATGATGGCGTACTATGTAGTGCCTACAATCAAGCGGTCCCTCGTGGATCCGAGTACCGCTTCTGACACTCAAGTGTCAGACTCGAAGTATCGTGAAGGCTTGCCCCTTTACGATATTGCACGGCTGAAGGAATAGTCCTGCGACTGCCGCGACACCTCCGACTTTTAGGCTGAGTGTCTCGACAGGCAGGGCAAATTAGGCTCTGCGCGGGGGGAAATCCCTTCCAAGCAGAGTCTAGGACCTGGGATGTCCTGGACAAGAACCTCGAATCCGGGCCCAGGACCAACGTCCGACAAAGAAATCTTTACGAAGCATACAACAAAAAAAAAAACGGGGTTTTCTTCCTCTTGCTCAGTCTCAACCCCAATTAAGCCCCTAAGCGTGGACCCTCTCAGGCCACGCGAATACCCAACCAAAGTACATATGTATATATATGTAAAGGGAAATAAATATGTGATGATCACTTCCCACTATCACAGTGGGACTCCTCACAGCCATATATATGTGTGTGGTCGCAGGCAGTCAAATCCGAAATCCAAGCCACAAAACATACCTGCAATCACATCACAGAGTCAACCAAACATCCACGCACTACACAGAGTCAACTTCAACCAACCTCTATACTCATACCCCTCGCTTTAGCCATGCAAGCCCCAGCCTTTGTCCAACCAACCATAATTAAATACTCAGTACCTTTGTTAAATGACCATTCAATAAAAGTCTGGGTGAAAACCTTAATGAAACAATAAAAATCGCCAGGGCTAAAGCCTTTTAGGTTGAGTATTGAGGATGAATTGGAGTTGAGTCGTAGACTGACGAATCGACAACCGACCTGTTATCAGTGATAACAGAAGGTGATCCTTGTAGGATCAAGCTCAATCTAGTCCTGACTTTGAATCAAACGTTCAAGAGGACCTGTAACACAAGACAGGTCAATCCCCAAGCTAAATCTATGAGTCCAAATCGAGAGTAATCTTCATATCACTGTTTCACCAAGAATCATTATACTTAGCTAATCCCGAGTCTATCCCTAAGTCAGTGCCTAATGAAAAGGTTGATCTTTAGCAGAATCTCCCCTACGCAGAGTGGATTGCCAGGGTCGCCACCTGCCAAAATATAATCTAACTCCTGTAAATTAAGAAAATTTTGGCGGCGCTTCCCGTAGGGAAAGCGCCTTCACAGAATTTATAATAACCCAAATATGAAAAGAAAAACAATCCCTAACTACTTGAATTAGTAAAAATTTGGGCAGCACTTCCTTTAGAAAGGTAGACTTCCCAGATTTATACTAAGTCAGATATGAACTCAGAAACGAGACATGAGTTCAACTAAGACAAAATTTAACTAACTCCTTAGATTTGTAGAAATTTTGGCAGCGCCTCCCGTCGAGAAAGTGCTATTCCAAGATTTGTACAAAGCTAAGTTCATAATTAAAAATGACTTTGACCTTTCAAGGTCCAATTTTGTCGAACTTCCTGAATTAGCAAAAATTTGGGCAGCACTCCCTTTAGAAAAGGAGGTTTCCCATATTTTTACTAAGCCAAATAGTCAGAAAAACTATATTATGAAAAAGACAAAATTTGACTAACTCTTTGGTTTTGTAGAAATTTCGGCAGCGCTTCCCGTAGAGGAAGTGGCTTACCAAGATTTATACAAGACCAAGTATAATGAAAGTTATCAGAAAATGCAGAAATTGATCTAAGTAAAAAAAACTTAGCTCAGAAAATGCAGGAATTGAAGCCACTCCTATGGCTCTAGCACGTGGCGAGCAACTAAACCAACTACCTATCAAACTGAAACTCAGACTAAGTAGTAATCTCACTCAGTCACATGCGAGGCCAAACCACACAGGTAAGTACTCTCATCGTCCCAAAGTCAATTCATATAAGGTAGTTCATGAATCTTTCAGATGATTTAACCCTTATACCCAACTCACATATGGCACAATGCTAGACCATTCGGCTTGGAAACAATGTCCAGCTTGCCTTAAGATATACACGAACAGGTTGCACTACTACTTCTCTCTTCTTTGGGCATTTGACTAGACCATTCGGCTTGGAAACAATGCCTAGTCGCCCTGAAGTGTTTAATATCCAAGATTTAATATCTTTTTGACTTTGTTCTCAAAAGAAAAAGCAAATACGGGCAGGGGACTTTAACCATTCGGCTTGGAAACAATGTTCGGCTTGCCCAGACTACTTCCAATTATACTTTGTAACTTTCGTTCTCTTCTTAGTGATATGGCTTAGCGTTGGACCATTCGGCTTGGAAACAATGCCGAGCTGCCAGTTCATATGCAAATATAAGTAAAATACTTTCTCTTATACTCAGTTTATACTTATGTGCGTGGTTTTTAGGCTCAACCATTCAACTTAGAAACAATGCTCAGCCTTAGACCAAAAATCCTCCCTCAGAATGAAATAAACATTAAAACCTCCACATCAGGCAAACCCTCAGAAAATAAACACAGCAGCCAGGCCATTCAGCTTAGAAACAATGTCTGACCCTTCATAAAACAGCCAAATAAACATAGCCCTGGGCCATTCAGCTTAGAAACAATGCCCAGTCCTTGGTTGACTCGGTCAAACGCATGCAGTTTGCCTTCCTCCCACCTTCCCCCAGTTCGTTCCTTAGTCTGCTTTCGGTCAAAATAAGGAGAAACTTAGACTTCACACACATTCTTTCCATTCAGTCTGATTATTGCTGAACAGAAAGCAAGAATCATAGGGGAAACACATGCATGCAATCAGTCAAACTAAGGGGAGATAGTCAAACAGGGGTATAGTGGGGTCATACAGATAGAGAAAGGTATACTTGTCAGTTCCCTGCCTCCAGAACCCCGCCTAGGTTCCGGCAGAGCTCCCACAATCGGTGGGTGTACTCCCCACAGAGTCTTGTTGCGGTCCTACGGGTTGCAATCCCGCCTGCCGCCTTCCTCTCGGAACCAACAGACTAGACTTAGAATGAGAAGGGCAGAAAGAGATAGGTTGAGACTCTCAGATCCAAGAGAGGTGCACTGAGACTCGCGGTGTCGGGACAGAAACCCCTGGGAGGGTTTCTGCTTGAGTTGTTCAAGGACGGATTTTGGATTGGGAGACTTGATGAGATTGACGTTGCCAAAGTTATTCAGTCCAACCCTATAACTGAGAGACCTAAAGCCTGACGTCGTTGACGCATGATGTCATTGACGTGGGATGACATCGATGTCCGTTCGGGATAGCGGGAGTCGGCATTGTCGTCCGCGGTTCTCGACGAGGCCGTAGTAGTGCGCGGTCGTGGAAAGACTAAGGCTAGACTTATTTTATTCACGTATTACATCACGCCACCATACAAACATGGTATACAAAATCATTCCTAAACCTAAACTAAGGCACAACGTATCTCCTGTATAAGAATGCATGTACATAACACCACCAATGGTACTTGCCAAAGCTCCCAGTGAACCAAAAATAGGCCATGGACTAGGATCAACTAAATGATAAGGATGCTTTTGAGAACTCGTACTCATTGCTTCGCTCCTTTGTTTTTTAGTCTAATTTATTAGACACCCAAGAAACATAATCATTGAAAGAGACAACTTCCACTACAATAGGCATAAAGGCATGATTGGTACCACAAAGTTCACTACATCTAAAAGATGTCGCGCCGCTGCTAAGCCGCGCGATTCAGACCTAAGTAGGCTAAAAGGAGGGGTGCGCCGGGTATAGGACCGCGACGCAGGAGGAAGGACAAAATCTTCCTGGGCCGCGGGGGTTGACACCGAGCCAGGGGGTTGACAGGCTGATGCCAGGGTCATACGGCCAACTGAGCATGCAGGGCCACAAGCAGGCAAGGCCTGCAAGGTCACGGTATGGGGGAAACCTGACTGGGCGAGCTCTTCATATAGAAGAGCTGCTCCTATCACCGTGATAGGAGCTAGCCCAGTAGGTTACCACACCAAACTCTCACCCGGCAGATACCGGGATCGAACCTGACATGCAGGCCTACAGGGCAAAGCTCCTTTTGGAGCGGCCCAACTTTTTCGACGCGACCGTTTTTGGTCGTGCGATCGGTGAGATCGCACGACTGGGAACAGCCGCGCGGAGAGATTAGCATGGCCCCTGCGCAAGGGTGACACGCATAAATCGAAAAGTGATCCAAACTTTTTTTATTTTCTTTATTTTAATTTTTGGAAAAAAAAAAAAAAAAAAAAAACGAGGGTTCCTCAGGGCTGAGGTCCTACTAGCAAAAAGGATAGGATCGAGCTCCTGAATCTGGATGTGTTTTAAGCAGAGATGCAGAAAAGTAGTTCAATTTCGATTTCCTACACAACTCCGTTATATCCGATCCTCTTTGCTAGTGGAACCATGCCCTTGGGGGTTGGTTGCTCGTAGCTGAAAGGCCACGAGACCTGATGTGGCCGTTGGCTTAAGCCAACGGGAAAAAAAAGTAAAAAAAAAAAAAAAACTAACTA